GAAGCATCGCCTACCCTGGCCTGCTCTTTGTGTGAGAAAAACAAACTCCTCTAACAGAGGTTCCCAAATGTTCTCAGGTCCCGACATCCTCAGTGTCTCAATTTTTTCATGGTGCCTGTAGGCCAAAAGGAACACCTAACAGTTCCATTTATTAAGTAGTTAGTTGTTAACGACTTAATGGTATTTATATATTAACAACTTATTAGCTGTTTGAAAAAAATAATACACATAAATTAAAAATAAAAGTATTCTTATTTCATTTTTAAATAACCAGTTACTGAGAGTACATGTGTTCCAACTGTGCCCTCTACTACTTCTCAAACCTTGTAATCAGAATCGACACCACCACCTTCACCTCCTATTCCACGCTGATTTTCACTTACCACTTGCTTTTTTTTTATTGTGGCAAAATATACATAACTTAAAATTTACCATCTTAATCATTTTTCAGTGTCTGGTTCAGTGGCATTAAGTACATTCACATTGTTGTGCAACCAGCATCACCACCCATCTCCAGAACTTTTTCATCTTCCCAAACTGAAACTCTTGGACCCGTTAAACAATAACTCCCAATTCTCCCCTCCACGCAGTCCACAGCAGCCATCATTCTACTTTCTGTCTCTATGAATTTGACTATTCTATGAACCTCATATAAGAGGAATCATACAATCTATGTCCTTCTGTGTCTGGCATATTTCACTTAGCATAATGTCTTCAAGGTTCAACCATGTTGAGGCATGTGTCAAAATATCCTTCTTTTTAAAGGTTGAACAATATTCCATTGTATGTATGTGACACATTTTGTTTATCCATTCATCTGCTGATGGACACTTGAGTTGCTCCCACCTTTTGGCTACTGTGAATAATGTTACTACAAACATGAGTATATAAAGTGCTTGCTTTTTTTTATCACTACTGAAAATGTAGCTTAGCAAAGATATGACATCACTAAAAGGAACATGGTGCAATCTAATGTCAAAACTATGAACCTTCTCAAGCTAGCAGTTGGCCTGGTGTTCAAAGGATGTCGAGTATCCCTATGTTTCCTTGCAAATTTAAAATATCCTGTGGCACCCCCTGAGTTTGGTATAGCAGTCCAGTGCCCTTGGTGTACTATTTGAGAACCACATCCTATGATATTAAAGCCACTGTTATTTGAGTTATCAGTGAGTAGAACTCAATCCTTACCTAACATAAACATTACAATCAAATTTATATTTCTCAGGAGGCCTCCACTGGAGATTCTCCAGTCTTCAAGTCAGATATTTGCTGTGTGGTAATCCTTTTCTGTAGACAGCTCCACTGGATTCGTGAGAATTGGGATAATTACTCTCAAGGCTTAGAAATGTATTTTCTTAGCCACCATGTAAACTGTACTTGGCCCCAAAGCAATGATATCCCATTGTGAAGGTTAATTTTAAATGTCAACTTGACTGGGCTATGGAGTACCCAGATATTTGGTCAAATATCATTTGGGGTGTTTCTATAAGTGTTTTCAGATGAAAATAACATTTAAATCAATAGAATGAGTAAAGTAGATTGCCCTTCCTAATATGGGTGGGTCTCATCCAATCAGTTGAAGGCCTAAATAGAACAAAAGGCTGACTTTCTGCTAAGAAAGAATTCTTTCCTGAATGATTGCCTTTGAACAGAGACATTGGCTTTTCTCTTGCGTTCTGACTCAAACTAAAACATCAGTTCTTCCTGGGTCTCAAGCTTGCTGGCCTTCAGCTTGGAACTACACTATTGCCTCTCCTAGTTCCAGGCCTTCAGACTTGGATTAGAACTAAGCCCTTGGCTCTCCTGGGTCTCCAGCTTGCTGACTCATCCTATAGATCTTGGGACCTGTCAGCTTTCATAATCATGTGAGCTTTTATATCTTTTTATATATATCTCTTTAGATAGAGAGAGAGAGAGAATACATATATTCTTTCTTTCTTTCTTTCCTTTTTTGCTGAGGAAGATTGGCCCTGAGCTAACATCTGTTGCCAATCTTCCTCTTTTATTTGCTGAGGAAGACTAGCCCTGAGCTAACATCTGTGCCAATCTTCCTCTATTTTGAATGTGGGTCACCACCACAGCATGGCTGACAAGTGGTGTAGGTCTGCGCCCAGGATCCAAACCCACAAACCCAGGCTGCTAAAGTGGTGCACACTGAACTTAACCACTATGCCATGGAGCTGGCTCCCAGAATATATATATTCTATTGGAAGTAGATATAGATATAGATGATATATAGATGTATCTACTATTGGTTTTGTTTCTCCAGAGAACTCTGACTACTACACCCACAGAGACACACGTTCTTTGGTACCTACCCCCTGGGTCATGGCATTGTCAATAATGCATGAGAATGCAATGACAAAGCCAGGGAAAGATGTCAATCTCGAGCTTATCACATCATCCCCAAGGTTAGAACCCTTCCAGAGCACACCAGTGTCATCAAGATAGATCTAAACTCCTTGGTGTGTCATTCATGACCATTCATCTGGCTTCTGCTTATTCCTCTCCAGCCTCATCTCTTAGCATAGTCTCCACGCCCTCCAATGTAGAACCACGTGAAAGGCCACGAAGTGGACCACGATCTCTCCCCTCCAGGTTTTGAGTATGCTTTTCTTTTTACCCAGAATAAGTTGCAGATAGCCCCCTCACATGCATACGTACACACACACACACGCACAGAGGACAGACACTTTGATTCAAGGCTAGCTCCTCATCCTTCAGATGTCTGCCTAGATATCCTACTCTCCCCCTAGATCCTCTTACCAAGCACCGGCTGGGAACCCCTCCAAATGCTGCCATATCACCCTGAGTGTATCCCTATCAGAGCCCCAACTGTGCTTTATTTTAACTGCCCATTTATTTGTCTGACTTCTCCAACTCTTGAGGGCTAGGACTATGTTTTATTGGCTACTGTATCCCCCAAACAGTGGCTTACCCACAACATATGCTCAACAATTATTTGTTGAATAAATGACTGGATGAAGTTTAAACAGTCTCAGATCACCATTCTCAACAAGTTATTAACTTAGTTTAGGAACTGTCAACTAAGATCTGAAAGGGACACATTCAGCTACTGCTGGCAGTATCCAGACCACCAGTGGCATCCAATCTGCAAGGCCAGGGGGATAGTAATACTGTTGTCCTTGACCTCTTATCCATGCCCACACCTGCCCCAACCATGCAGATCTACAAGAGTCAGCTTGGAAGCTGAGCAAGGAGCCAGAAAGTCGAAAAGAGGAGAATCAGGAAGCAGTACTAATCCCTACCTGAGTTCCAAGAGTATTAACCCAGAGAGTTCACTCTCTCTTACGTATCTGAAGCATTTTTTTAACACCATGATTATAACTATAACCACTTCTGGTCACCATCAAAGCGATATTCTTAAACTCCTTACTGGCTGGCAATGCTGAAGTTACTTATTCTTTCGAGACTTTAGTTCCCTTATTGGTTAATCAACAAAAGCATACAACTCAGGACTGTTGTGAGGAATAACTGAGACTATGTATTGGAAAGCACTTAACACATACCTGATACCTGCTAAGTTATGATATAATAAATGCAAGCTACTATTATCACCATTATTATTGCCAGTCAGGATTTCAAACACAAGTATATATAAAAACAAGCTACAGTTCACTAATCAAGCATAAGCTGAAAGATTTTACTGGGCCTCAGGCCCTGAAAATCCAAACATATGAGCTTGACATGAAGGAACCTAGCTTACCGTACCGTGAACATACAGACAATGACAGAACTATTTGGGATGCAGCCCCCAGGGAAGGTTTCTCCTATACTTATACTAAATATCAGTAGTTCTAAGAAATAAAACAACTCAAAACCAAACCTAGGCCAAAATAAATAAATAAAAAAGAAAAGAAAAAAGCTACACATATGTTTAGTTGTGTTTTTTTTTAATCTACCCATTTATACCAACTTCTCCATACACAGAAATACACAGACACTAAAACAAACAACATTTTGGTTACCTGTCTGATCTAAAGCATTATTCACTACAGCTGAGTGAGTTATGAGTTAACTGGGTGAATGGCTATTCACAAGGCCACTAGTAATTATTTTGATGGCATAAATACTTCATATAAATATTTAAAACTAAATGCTAAAAATACCTTAAAGAATATATAGTTGTGCTATTTTACATAACAAAGCTATATTTTACCTATCTTTCTTTTTCTAGCCCAAATACACATATAATTTGCAATATAACCTCAGTAAGTCAACAGCAGTTTCTATAGAGTATGTCATTCAAATAACTTGCTATTCTCCAACAATTATTCTTTAATTTAAAGTATTTGGTAATCCAAACACTACTGAATTAAAATCACATTCTCTCTGCATTTCAAATTAACCAGGTTTTCCAGTTCTCCACAAGCACAAAAATATATCTTTTCATTATTCTCTTCTAGCTCCCTTCTTTCTTGTCACTAGCCATATATAAAAATTATAGGTTCTGCTCTGAGAATAGTTTTTTATCATTTCTATGTATAAATTCCTCATTTTATTAGCCATTAAAATTTCTCCCTTTTTTATCCTTTTCCTTCTAAACAGCACCTTTCTTCTAGCACCCACCTACCATAATGACAGTTGCAGCCACCTCTCTCCTCTATGGCCTGCAGAATCCAGCCCCTGATGAGCCAGGGCAGAGCTCTGTGTATCCAGAGGGCAGGATCTTGCTAAACTTGCTCTTGCCCTTCCACCACCACCACCCACCCTACCTCCCCATTTCTGATCTTTCTATCTCACCTTCTACTCTGTTTCACAGTCCCATGGGGTGTCACATTTACCACTGTGGCCCTTGCCCTCAGACACATATACACATTCACCCCCTTACCAAGCAAGCTACACATCATTTTGAGACCATCAACTTTGACTCCGACATTGAATCATATATTTTTTCATAGGATTTGCTGGCAGAAAAGAGACTAGGGGGAGAAAAAAATAGTGTCCACTTTTAAAAGATCCCAGAAAGACAATCCTACCTTTCCCAGGATTTGGAGGAAAAGGGTTTCCAAACTCCTGTTGCTTTGGCTTTAAAGTGTGGGGCCCTGACATGCCTCCGGCCTGGGTGACCTGGTATCGTGGCTTTCCATTGGTGAGCACTTGTCTCCTGGGGCTCAAGGCAGGCAGATGGATGGGGCTCTCAGCCATGTTGCTCTGAGGAGCCATCCCTCCTCCTGAGGGCATCTTGAGATGGAGGCTGTTAGTAAGGCTTCCGATAGCAGGGCTTGGTGTGCTTCCACAGGACGATGGGCCAGGAGTCCCTGAGTGGGCTCTGATGGGAGGAATGTGTTGGCCACTGACCATCCCAGGCCCCTGTGGGGTTCCTGATGTCCGGTGGAGATTCATGCTGCATGACCTTCCATTCATTCTGAAAAAACCTGTGGCCAAGATGGTCAAATATCCAATGGCACTAATGACTCCTTTCAGGCAAAGTCCAATAAGTTATCCATGGTGTGGGTTATTAGCCTGTTTAAAAAAATAAATGCAGGCATTTTTTAAAGTAAAAATGAAAATAAATTACAGCGAGTTTTCAACCTGTACAGCATTCATATCAGGAAGAAAAGAGGCACTCTTAGCAAAATGATCTTTTATGTAGAGCAGGGTCATCAAATACATGCTTCACTGGCAAGCACTCTCCCCTCCTGCATTCATGGTAGACATGGATTATGGATCACTGCATTGTTTTGTTTGCCACTGAGCCCTTCTCAATACAGTGCTCTTGGCAACTACAACCAATCTACTGGTGCCAGCTTGCAAAATGAAATTTACTTTGCTCCCTAGAGGATCTGTTCATACTAGTTCACTTTTGCTATAGTGAGTTTTAGAATTCCAAAAGCATCACCTTCATGAGCTGTGAGAGCAATGCTTCAAAGTTTCCAGTAAACAAACAAAAAGCAGATATGGCTTCTAAATGAGATTATGAGGACATTAAACCATCTCAGATTTTCACCCTTAGAGCCATTTTTTCACAGTCCCTAGATTTACAAAAGATAAAAATATGGGCCTGGGAATGCTGCAAAAGCTTCATACATCCATGTGTCCAAATATTCACAGCACCATTAGAGTCTTGGTTCCATACTGATCCTGAGTTATGGGGATGGAAATACAATCAACATCACAATACTCTCACCTTCCATTAAGATCCTAGAAAAGGAAAAGGCTGCGCAAAATGCTTTATGGAAAGCACAAGGACAAAGAGCCCTTCTAAAGTTGAGTAGGTTCACCAAGCACATGGCAAATTCAGCATAGTTCCACGAAACTTCCATCTGCCATCCCACTAGCCTCTTCCTCAACTGGCAGAGGGAAAACCAAAAGAACTGAACTGACATGGCCACTGGACATCATCATACATCCGTATGTAACATGTCAGTACTCCCTGGTTAAAAATCATTAGGAAAGACCCCTTCCTCCCGTGATCAATAGGTCCCCAAAATATATGCAATGAGGTGACTAAGTGCCACTACTCCAAAAGAATAACAGACAAAGTCACAATCTGTATTCTTTTATAAAGACATGATAGTCATGGAAAGAAGCCAAAGCTGAACAAAGACAGGAAATATGGACTGCGTGCAAAGTAGTAGTGGCCAGATACCCTCAACTGGATAATTCTATCTTTTTCTGTATGATCCACTCAATGCCTTAGACAAATATTTCCAACTCAACTCCAAAATGAATGGCTCCATCAATCATCAAGGACAGGATATCAAAGAGGGCAAAGTTTTTGAAGAGGTTTTTTTTCTTTTATCATTTTAGAAAATCAAAAATATTAAATTTTCAAGTCAACCACTCACTGTGCCTTCTGCAAAGTTGACAGTGCACGCTCATATGTTGAGGAACTCCAAAAATTACTAGCAATATAAAATTTGGAATGTCTTCATCTTTACCAATTCTCTATTTTACTAAGAATTCTATCAGTCACATTTAATACTGCCACACCATCTAGCCCTCAGAAACACTCACAGGTCTCCGTCCTACCCTTACCTCTGCTACAGTTCCCAAGAACAGACAAATAAATCCAGGTTATCCAAACCTGAATCATTTAAGTTTGTTTATGGAACAATGAGAAATGAACCCTGGTATCAGAATGGTTGTAAGATTTTTCTTTGACACTGGAAAAATTCCAATGCTTTTTCTGCTGTGTCCATTTAGAAGAACTCGAGTGTATTACCAGCTGGTCTGTTGATTCATTGGTTGATTGTGGGCAAGAGTCATTTAATGTCTCCATGCTTTGCCAGATGATATTGGCCATCTATTCTCCCCTCATTGATAAAATACTGTTTTCTAAGTACTCTGAACCCTGCAGAAGAAAGCCCTTATTCAGTACCGACCAAAAAAAAAAGGCAAAATAAATATGTTGTATTGGCAATTTGTTGAAAATGAGGAATTATCCAACATGACTGGAAATATGCGTCACTAAGACCGCGGTCCAGGTGACAAGTGTCTGCAGATTTGCAGACGATGCCCATTTCCAGGTTTTTAAAAATAAAGGAGTCATTTTTGGCAGCAAGATCATACATATACAAGCAGGAATTCTCATCAAAAATCTGGAGAAAAACACATAAGAAGTTACTTAGAATTAGGCTAGATCATTAAGAAGGTGAGTTTGCAAGAAGGAAAAATAATTAAAGTGCTGAGAACTTAATTAAGTATCAGACAGTCAAACCTGCTAGTCTTAGACTGGATATTTATTTTATTTTTATTTTTTTATAAACTGCACTCCTGTTTTAAATAGCTTTAGGTGGAAAGTAACAACAACAACAAAAATGTACTTAAATTTTATTACTAAAAAAGCAAGAGCCAGAAAGTAAAGTGATTAATACCATAAAGAAAAACCAATAGGTCAATGGTGTGTGAGCTGAGAAAAACCAGCCTCAAGACAAAAATAAAATAAACTGTATGTGAAAATATGCCTAATAATCCAGTTTTCACATTAATTATGCCAACAGATTTTTTGAGCCTTAGATACCAGAATTTAAAAATCAATTTTGTCTATTCATATTATAATATTTTATATACTTTTTATCTAGGCCATATGATCATGTATAATTCTAAATCCACTTGGTAGCAAAAAAGAAATAAACTGCTAACTTTTAAGAAAAACACGTCGTCATTGAGTCAAAGTGAAAGGAGCACTCAACTAGAAGTCAGGAGACCTGAGTTCTACTTGTAGCAAATCATTTATAACTTCTCTGGACTTAACGGTTTTTCATCCAAAAAATGAGGAATTTGGTGATAATCACTACAGTCTCTTGAAATTCTGTTCTTCCAGATAATTAAGATAAGAAAGATTATCAAATACACCCATTTACTATAATCAAAAATAAATATGTAGATTTCATACCTACGGCACTTAAATCAAGGGGATGGGGTAGATATGGAAGCAAAAATGATAGTAGTCTCTCCGGACTCTATCAAAGCAAGAGCTGACAGAAGGCTTTCATGCCAGCAATGTGCTGAAAGACAACACTTACCTTGAAAAATGAATAGTAAGATTAAATTTTCCTATACTTTGCTAAAAAGTAAAATCACAACTAATCAGCATCAAAACCTAACTGGTAGGATTCCATTGGAAGAGCATCTTTCTATTTAAAAACCATTTAAAAAGAGGAATTACTTTCTCCTCTGCCCTCCATCCAGCTACTCTGCCTGAGGCTATCAACAGAAAAAAAGAAGAAAAAGAAAAAGCAAGGAGCATCCAGAAGTACAAATTTAGGGTACTTTGGATCTGACATTTTGTTACATTTAGATTTTTAATACTCCATTAGTTCAAACAATGAAAATGTTCATTCTGCTATATGAGTCAACATGAGTTAATAAATCTTTCCTTTTGACCACTTTCATACTCTTCAAACACACTCCTATAAGTCACGTCAGAGAGGAAATTACTTAACTCCTAAGGTAACCAAAGCACAAAAGCATTTAATAATTTCACTAGATTTCTGGAAAAGCTATGACTTTAATCAGAATATAAGATCTTGACTCTACCTTCTACCCAAGGTTCCAGGCACTGTTCCTCACGGAGTAAAAGATTAAGCAAACAAAAAGCAATGTTAACTCATCGATTCAAGAAAAATCCAAAAACACAAGTTCCATAATGCCTATTTACTGCCAGAAGCCCTTTCTTAGTAAATATCATTAATAGACTCATCTAGAGTCATAATTCTTCTGATGAGCCAGTTAATTATTAATTTTCATACATCATTTCATTTCCTTAGGCTACATTTAGCCTTTGTTACATTTTCCATTCCTTATGCCACAAGCATTTTTTACCCTGCATAGAAAACCTGATAATGAGACACAAAATACTGGTCAGCAAACAAACTGCTCCTGAGCTGGCTTCTTATATATATATACGTCTCAGCCATCTAAAATAGAGCTTTTATTGATTCTTTTTATTTTTTTCCTTTGGGTTAATGATTGTATAATTTCATTAACATTGCCTTTTCAATGTCGCTGCCTTGATCGTTAATAGGCCCAGGCTATTCCCATGGGCTTCTCTAGTTACAGCTTTTGTGGCCAGGAGGATATAGAAATGAAAAGCCTACGGATAGATAATATAAGTTATTCTCATGCACGGCTGCAGTGTGAAGCACATTTTGCAATTCAATCAAGGACAGATAGAGCTGAATGTTCTTAGATCCAGGGAGTTCATTTTAATAAGCAGAATGTACCTTGTCCTAACACAGGTGACTGACTCCTCAGAAAAGATTGTATAAACAAAACCCAATCGTGTAAGTCATTTTATTGGCAACAATATAAACACAGCTATATTAGATGTCACCAATAAATCAAAATTATTCTTGTCTGCAATTTTAGCACAAGGAAAGTGCAAACATGTGCCTGTGAAGCTGGAGGATATTATAGAGGAAATGCATTGGATGTGTACAATATCATTTCTCTAAATTGAAAGGGAGAGTACTATATTATGATAAAGTAACCCCCAACAAGATATAGTTGATCATTTTTCTGGTTTTGTAGCTTTATTCAGTGAGACCGACAGCTTCACAGACGTCACAACAGAAGTTACATAGAGACAGGGTTGGGATAATTCTACATGACTGAGACCTGGGGCAGAAACTTAGGGACGTTACACCTGGTAACCGGGAACTATAGATTTTATACTCACGTGGGTACTCCCAAGACTTAATGTTAGTAATTTTAAGAACGTTAACATATTTATTCTGAACACTAAGATGTACAGATATTACTCAAGCAATATAATCACCAATAAGATGAAATCTCAAAAAATCAAAGAGGTTTAGCTCTAAGTTAGACCAATTAAAATTATGAAGACAAATTAGTATTCCCTTCAGAGATTCAAGACCATTCTTCTGAAGACCACTCAGAAAAGTTAACATAATGAACATCACGGAGTCCATCAAATAGAATCTATGACTTTGTTTTATCTGTGGATTCTAACCCTTGGCTATCTAATTAGAGATATACACATTTTAATTTTTTTTACT